CCCATGTCTGCAGCCCAGTTGGGGGCTGCGGTGGCCCTGTTACCCCAGCTATTGCAGTAGGATGATACTCCACAGGCAGTTTCCATGGCAGCAGCAGTGCAGTCTGAGCACTGGGAGGTGTGGGCTGCAGGAAGACCCCCTTACTTCCACCACTGGAGACATCCTCACACCTCTCCTTCTGGCAGCTGAGTCTGTGTCTCCTGCAAGGGACACTGTAGTGTCCTTTCTGGAGTGCCACGTGCAGGGACAGGGACCCCCTGCACCACCAACATGCTCCCCAGGAAAGGAGAAGGATAAGAGTGATGGGGACTGCACGAAGGCCTGAGCCCAGCTGTCCCAGAAGAGCCGTGGCCTCCTCTTCCTGGGTGAGTGTGGTGTCAGGGCTTCTGGGAAATTTGTAGGCACAGAGAGCACTGGTGGGAGCTGCATTGTGGTCGCAGACCCCCACCTTGCACTGGGCATCCTCAGCTCCCCTGCCCAGCACATGTTCTGTGCTGATAGCAGGGCTGCTCTTATTTCCAGTGAGCGTCAATCCAAAGCTGCTGTGCCTGCACCTCCCTGGGGATGGCACAGCAGGCCGGGATGCTGCCTGTCTCTCCTTGTCTCTCCATCTGCAGCTGCGTCAGCGGGGGCCGCAGGGAGCCACGGGCTGAAAGGAACAGTGCAGAGAGAAAAGAGTGGCTGGCGGCTCCAGGTCTGGCTCTGATCAGAGGCGAGCTGTGTGTCCAGCTCCGGCCGGGCTGAGCCCTGGGCAGCAGAGGTAGCATGGGGCTCTGCACTTTCTCTCACTGGAGCCGAACACCCTACAATGCTCTGAGATCCAGTAGTGCATCCTGTGACCCCCTTTGTGTTACTGGGGATCCCAGCCCCTATGAGCACATCTCTGCTTTCTCTCTGCAGAGGGCTTTGGTGGAGAAAAGCCCCAGGAGTTGCCATGAGGACACAGGGCGAGGAGGGCATCACACCCAGCATTTCCCATGCCCAGCCTGGTAGATCAGCCATGGGGAGGGCACTGCGGAGAGCTCAGGGCTGGGGTAGGTTGGATTTGCTTTGTGCTGCTGCACCAAACACCTGGGGACTCAGCAGCTCGTGACAGCGCTGTATAATGTGAGGAAGCAGCCCGCGGTGCAGGCAGGCGCCGGTGCTGCCGGCGGCTGTGGGCAGGGAGATGATGGGGCCCGGCGTGCCCCTGGGAACGGAGCTGGCTGCGGGCAGCAGGATTCTCCTGCTGCCTCTGTTTTCCTACACATGGAAAATAAGCAGGCAGTGAAAGCAGCACTGTGCTGCAGGAATCAATACAGCCTGGGTGCTCCTCCCCGCTCTCCCCTGGGAGCCTGCCCCCAAGCATCTCCCTGAGCAATTGCTGCTGTCTCCCTCTCTGTGCTGTCTGTCTTTCCAGCACGTGCAGCAGGACCGTGCCTGATGCTGCTGGCTATGCAACAGTGTGGGGCAGGGGTGGCAGCCCCAGGATTGGGGAGCTCATTGCCTGGGCAGCCTGACTTCAGGAATCGTTTGGGGTGTGGAGAGAGATATCCTGGGGGATCCCTGTGTCCCTCTCCGGGGATCTCCATTGCCTGGCCAAGAGGAGCTGATGTGCTCTGACTCTATCACAGCACCCAGCAGGTTCAGAGGAACATGACACAGCGTGATCCTACATCTTGCCCATAGGGATTCTGATCCTACAGGAGATCCCAGGAGAGACAAGCCCAGCTCACCCATAGGGCAGTGTCTCGCAGGGATTGGGGCTTTCTGCTGTCACTGCTCTGCCCCACAGGTAGTGATGGACAGCAGGGATGGGCACCATGAGGCAGGAGACAACAGCGGGTGGATCCGGTTACAGGCAGCACGGGGCAGAGAGATCGGCAGAGAACAGCAATGCAGCAAAAAGGGCTTTTAGTGATAATTAATAATTAACATTTCTAATGATGTCCCGGCGACAGGAAGAGTCCAAGCGGGGACCTGGGGGCACTGTGTGTGGTGACAGTAGCAGGTGGGGGCCCTTTAGGGACTGGGCTGTACAGAGCCAGGGGTCAGGTGCTGGGTACTTCCATCATGCCCTCTGCTGCCATGGGCACGCAGTGATCCTATGACAAGATGGACTGGAAAACAGTGTACAATGCACCTTCAGGTTGACCTGGCCTCTTTTGTAGCACCACTGGGTCTACCATGCTGGTGGCAGGAAGAAAGGATTGAGCAGTCATCTGTGGACCTTCTGGGGTCCCCAGGATTTGGCCATGCTGGGGACAGGAGCAAAGGTGGCTTGAGATAAGCAGAGCCCAGGGGACCCTGTAGGATGGTGGCAGCTCATGCACAGCGCAGCACAGCGCAGGCTGCGAGGGAACAGAGCCCTCACTATAAATACATCTGCAGGGTAAACGCCAGGGAGGAGAAGAGCTATTTCAGCTAAAAGACAACATTAGCACAGGAATGACTGGGGATAAATTAACCATGAATACATTTAGGGTGGAAATTAGACCCTCAGAGCATGGAGGTCCCAGTACAGCTCCTCCAGAGAAGGAAGCTGTGCCAGGAGCCAGGGTCAGCTTGGTGGCCAAGGGGTCCCACACATTGTGTGCCCTCTTCTAGTGTCAAAAAGGAGTAAGGTGCATGCCCAGCTGCTTCCCAGGACATGCTGGCTGCAACCACGCAGAGCAGGTGACTGCAGTGAGGAGCAGCATGCAGAGCGCTGTGCGTGGTCTGTGCACGCACGCTGCATGCATGCCTGTGTGTGCAACGTGCAGGCTGTGTGTGAGCATAGGTGGGTGTGCACAGGCTGCACTCATGTTTGGACAGCGTGCTGGGTGCTCACATACGGTGTGTGTCTGTGTGTGTGTGTGCAGAGTGTGCAGACAGGGATGCTGCACGCAGGCTGTACTTCATGCATGCATGTGGATGTGTGTTTGCAGTGTGTGTGCTGTGCACCCACTGTGCTCCTACTGGGCTGTGTGCAGGTGTCTCGGCCTTCATGGTGCTCTAGAAAGAACAGCGACAGCGCCTGTAAAGCGTCTCGGAGGACAGTGCTGGGAGTCAGCACTGCTCTGCTCACCTGCACCCAGTCTGTGCAGCAGCAGCTGCGTTGTGCTGGAAGGCACACGCTGGGGTTCCCTGATCCAGCTGCTCCTGGGCTTGTTCCCATCCCGATGATTATGAGCCACAGGCAGAGGGATGCAAGGTGCCAGGGCTGCTGCCTGCGGGGGGATTCAAGGAGGCAACCACCCCGTGTAAAGCTGGGACAGCGCTGTCCTGGAGATGTAGGCGCTGGTGCAGCACTCACACTGCATGCCCGTGCTGCCTGCAGCCCTCCGACTCCCTTCCCCCAGCAGCATGTCTCACTGCCGCCTCGCTCTAATTTCCTGTCCATTGTCCCCATCGCTGCCACCATCGGTCCCCAGCGCAGGGCCGTGCAACGCACAGCCAGCCTCCATGCACCTCCGTCATCTCCACGCGCATACCCCACCAGGGCCGTGCCCACCCTCTGCAGCTCCCAAAAGAGCCTGGGTGCTGCCGTGTCCCCCGTTCACTCCCAGCACCGGTGGGGCCGGGCATGGCCAGCCCAGCATGGGGAGCAGGAGCCCATAGCAGATTCTGTGGCCGGTGCTCAGCTGCACCGCAAGAGGGGTCATCGGAAATGGAGTGTACAGGGGTACTTGATGGTCACGTGGCAGCAGCACTGTGGGAAACAATCACTGGGGCTGAGAGCTCTCCAATCCAGCAGGGAGAAGAGAACTGCGAGAAACAGGCAAGAGCTGAAGCCAGACACGTTCAAATGAGAAATAAAGGTTTCAGCAGGGCAGGAGATCAGCCACTCAGCACAGCCCATCACGGCGCGGGCTCCTGCTGCCACCCGGTGCAATGAGGTGGCTGCAGCCCCAGGCTCCATACTGGGTTCCCATAGACGTGTTCTGCTGGGATGACCTAACCCGTGCCCTGCCAGCACCGTCCCCGTGCCACCACAGCCTCACGGGGAGCTCTGTGTCCAGCCCTGCAGCAGACACTATGGGAAGGAAGGTGGGCTGCACGTGAGCCCAGCTCAGCATCCAATAGCTGCAAGGTTTTGGCATGGCAGTGCCTTGTGCAACCAGTCCCCAGGTCCCCAACAGTGAAGCAGGTGCCCTGCACCCAGGGCCATGCAGGGGATGGCATGGGGACGATGCTGAGCCCTTGGGCACAGCTTTGGGGGCTGACATCTCTCCATACCCACAGTTTCATTGCTCTATTGGGCAAAGCAGTTGAGATGGGGCAGCCCTGTGCATCGTTGCAGTCAGTGGGGAGCAAATCCTGCTCCCCACTGCACTCCGAGTGGAAATCACTGGAGAAAGGGGGGAATCAGCGAGGGAGAAAGTGCCTCCGAGTGGCTGCAGGGCTGCAGCCAGGATTTCAATCCCCATCGCCCAGCTCCAGCTTCTGGGTAGCATTGCTGGGACGCCATAGTCCCAAAGCTTTTGGGGGCAGCCTGACAGTGAGGGACGGTGCGGGACACGATGGGATAGAGCGACCCACCGCCCCGTGAAGGTTACGAGCCACTCTCCTGCCACATGCCTCAGCGGGTCCCCCCATCATATTTTGGCTCCGTATCACCCGGCGCTGCCCGGCCGTGCTTCCACTGCAATTTCGGGCAGTAAATCAGCACCGCACAGCCCCACCTCCCCGCTCTCCATTGGCAGCGGCACCCCTCGCCCCGCTCATTGGCGCTGCCGCGGCCGCCCAGCGCTACATAAACCCCGCACGGGCGGCTGGAGCCGTCGGGAGTCGGGCGGCGCGGATCCGGGAGGCGGGCGGCGAGGCGGGCGCTGCGGGATGCGCTCCCCCCGCCGCCGCGGGGGCACCGGGCAGCCCCCCGCGCCCGTGAGTAGGGAGAGGGCCCCGCGCCTCCGCCCCGCCGCCAACTTTGCCGGGGAGTCGGGGGTGGGTGCGGGAAGTTGGGAAGTGGGGAGGGGAGGGGGCGGCGGAGTTGGGGATGGGATGGGGGGATAGGGGCGCTGCCTTCGAGTGCGGTTTTGGAGGAGGGTTGGCAGTAGGGGAGCACCCCGCGGGGACGTTGGGGTGGTGGTGGGCAACGGGAGGGAAGGGGCAGCTCTCCTCTTTGGGAATGTCCCCACTTGGTCACTGTGGGGCTGGAGGGGTCCCTCTGCCCCTCCACCTGTGCAGGAAGGGGCTGGCTGCGTGGTGCCACGGCTGAGCCCCCCCAAGGACCCGATGTCCCTTCGGGCTGAGCTCCGAGATAAGGTGACTGCTTGTCTCCATACTGCATGAGCTGCTGCTGGCTGAGCCCCAGCGTGCCGGGTCCGGTGCTGAGCATGGGAGAGAACAGGAACCATCTCTGCTTGGGAACTGCAGGCGTGAAGCCTATCGGGAGCATCCATGGTGGGATGTACACAGGGACCAGGTCCTGTGTGAGGTGCATGGCGCTGAGCCCACAGCAGTGGGACCAGGGCTTGTGGCTTTGGCCGGAGCACAGGCACTGCAGAATCAGGGCTGCTTGGGGCTGTGGCATCCCTTGGATACCACAGCCCCTCTCCTGTGGGACAGAGGAGACTGAGTGCAGGATGTCTCCCACCTGTCCTCTACCCTTGCAGGTTTGGCTGTGGTGGCCTGAGAATTATGGGAAGGGGATATGGTGTCACTGGGACACATGCAGCATGATGTCATGCGGTGCTGTGATGTTACTGTGCTGTCACTACTGTGAGGTGGCTTTGGGGTGTGGTGGGGCTCCTGCTGTGCAATGTCACACGATGTCATGGCGGTGCTGGTCCGGGATGGGATGTGGCCCGGGATGGGATGTTGCCGCAGTGGTGACGCATGACACTAGGGACGTGCAGCATGGCGGCAGCGATGTCACGGGGATGGGGCGGCCATGCAAGTGGCCAACTCCCATGTCCCCATGATGTGTGCTGGTGTGCTGGGGACTACAGCTATGTACATGAGGAGCCCTGGGGCAGCACCTCCCTACCTGTGGTAACAGGTCTGTGGGGTGTGACCTTCCCAGGTTTGTGCATGCTGGCGTTGCCCTCACCCCATCCCATTCTCCCCTCAGGGTACTTTTGGCAGCAGCCTTGCATGGGGATGGCAGTGCCAGGGAGCAGCTGTTGGGCCAGCACTACGTTCCTGTGCTACCCAGTTGTGCCCTGTGTGAGCACCCATGGCACCCCTGCCTTGCTCCCATCCTCCCTTTGTCCCTTCTGACCACTTCAGTTCCATGCCACCAGGCTTAGCCATGCTGAGCAGGAGTCCCAGTGTGACTGCAGCACCTGGAGTGACCTTGCCACTGGATGCCAAGACATGAGCTGGGACATGGCTCTGCTGGGACAGGAGAGAGCTGAGCTCTACCATAGGCATACAAGCAGGACCCTGTTGCCTCAAACATCCTTGTGCCATGCTGGAAGCCACAGGGCCTCTTGCATTCAGCATTGAGCCTGGACCTCCCTCCCTTTTCCCAAAACAGCCTGGCTCTGGGCCGGCAGCCCCCACCATGGCACCCAGAACCGGATCTGTGGGAAAGAGCCTTTTGTTTCCAATCAGGAACATTGTTTCCTCCTGGAAAAGCTTCATCCAGCTTGGAGGGATTCCGGCTGCAGCTGGATGGAGTGGGGGTGTGCCTGGGGAGTGGGCCAAGCCGCAAGGAACGGGAGCTGGAGGGGAGACAGAGCCCCATTGATGGCATGGGGACAGTTCCCTGCAGGGCACCAGGCAAGGGAATGCTGCACCATGCTGGCTGGGGACAGAGATAGGGGCTGGGGAATCAGAGGGCAACCCTGTGCCCATGTCTCTATCTATCTGCATGGGCAGATGCTCTGTGCCTTGTCCCCACGCTTCTCAGATAAACCTTGGGGTAAGATCCTTGGAGCCTTCTCCCTCCATCTTCCCCTCTCCAAGCTGGCCACACAGGGCCCAAGGCACGAGGACAGGCTGATAGTGAGACTGGTCACCTTTCCCCACTGCTTGTCTTTTAGGGGATGCTCCTAAAGAATTTGGAACAGCCCTGTCATGGCCACATGGCGTGGTGTCCCTTGCTGGGCATCCCAGCCCTTCCTCCAGACTGGGAGCAGGGATGGCTGCTCTTGCTTGCAGCTGGAGCACCTGTACACAGGGCCTTGCTCACAGCTGGTGCCATGCAGCTTGCTGCTGCTGCTAGACTTTTCTCCTCTGCGGGGGACTGCCCGGCCCACAGTGAGTGCAGCAGTCCTGAGTGCCACCTCACTTGTCACCCACTCTAAAGCCAGGTCAGAGCCAGCTCCAAAGCTCCGCAGCCTTGCCAGCAGTGCTGGCAGCTACAGTCCTCCGCAGTCCAGGTTAATTGAGCCTCTCCTCCCAGTCTCCTGTCACCTTCCCATGGCTGCAGCCCTGTGCAGACAACCCCCCCACCGTCCAGCTGGGCAGGTACTGACCCCACAGAGTCCCAGGAGAAACAGCAATGGCAGGATGGGGAAACTAAGGCATGTTGGAGCTGCACAGCAATGCCTGAGGTCTCGGAACTGGAGAATTGAAGGGTTGTGGGTTACTGAGTGGGGTGAGTGGTGAATAGTGGAGGAAGAATAGCTCGTGCAGGGGTGATGCTCGGGCTCTGTGGAATGGGGTCTTGGTGGTTCAACCAGCAGAGCTGAGCGGCTGTAGGTCTGTCTCAGGTGCCCAGGATGCTGGCGCTGTGCCTGCTGTCCCTGGCCTGGCTCAGTGAGGGCTCCCAGCGCAGTGAGCCCATGTTCACCGCCGTCACCCACCAACTGCTCCCGCCTGACTACGACAGCAACCCCACACAGCTCAACTACGGCGTGGCTGTCACTGACCTGGATGCTGATGGCAGCTTTGAGATCGTGGTGGCAGGGTGAGTAGGAACAGTCTTGGGGGCAGTAAGACATGGTGGCCCTGCAGTGCCAGGAGCTCCTCGCAGCCCTGTGTCCCGGGGCTGGCAGCCTTTCCAAACTCACTGTTTTCTCCAAAAAGCACACGTGGTGCCCAGCTGAGCTCCCAGCTGCAGGCAGTTGGTCTCACTGCTCTGCTGAGGCACATCACTAATGGTCCCATCCCTCCATCTAGGCGGAGGTGTGCGGTGGCACTGCCAGCGTGCCATCTGCATGGGGACACTGCTCCGGGCCTGGGTCCCCTTGCTGTGGGATGATGACAGCTGCCCAACAGCTGGGTCCCACCCCTCAGTACAGAGGCAGCTCAAGCCCGAGCCAGCTCGGCTCCGCTGACAGGACTCAGTGCTCTCCGGAGATTCATTTAATTGGCTGGAGGTTTTTTATAGCCCTGTATGGGTGTGATGGCTTGGAAGGGCTGGCAGGAGCCAGTGATGCAGGAGCCGTGTGCTGTGCTGTCCCAGCACCCGAGCAGGGCTGGACACAGAGCAGCTGCTGCTGGCAGGTCCTGGCCTGGCTGGGGACAGTGGAGACAGTGGCACGGGCTCCTGGCGTGGCTGTGAGACAGTGGCATAGCATGCTCATCCATGAGGGAGGCTTGTACTTGTGTCCTCACCTGGAAGGGAGTATCTCACCCTGTGAGCCCAGCATGGGCTGGCACCGTGCTTGATGTATGGGGCATGGGCATGGGGTGTCTGCCCAACAGTGCAGCAAGCCTGGGCAGCCAGGGACAGCCAGCAGGGCCCAGATCACTGCACTCAGCAGGGCTGAGCCAAGCAGCCAGGATGGTTTTGTAAGCAGCACGGTGCCCATTGTGTAACTTGTTTACAGTGCATGGGGCAGGAACAGGTGGGGAGCCTGTGGGGCACAGTGTGCTGAGCGGATTTGCCTTGCATGCTGCCTTCCCTGCCCTGAGAAAAGGCTGCAAGAAGGGAACCTGCCCCATCCTACCCTGACATTACCCGGGTGCCCAGGCTAGGCTGACGTGTGATGCCAGGCTGAGCCCTCCCCATGGCAGCCAGCCCCACAGCTGGAAGAAGAGGGAGGCAGAAGATCCTTAGCCACCACACACCATGCATGTCTTTGCTGTGCCCCTCAAGTTGCTGATGCCCAGATCCTGCTTGGCACAGTGCATGGCCACCTGCGCAAGGGGATGGGGCAGGGGCTGTCATGCCATTCCCAACTCCAAGATCCATCTGTTCATGCCTACAGATACAATGGCCCCAACCTGGTGCTCAAGTATGACAAGGCACGGGGCCGGCTGGTCAACGTGGCAGAGGATGAGCACAGCTCCCCTTACTATGCGCTGCGGGACCGGTCGGGCAATGCTATCGGTGTGACAGCGTGTGACATCGACGGGGATGGCCGTGAGGAAATCTACTTCCTCAACACCAACAATGCCTTCTCCGGTGAGCTCCAGGCACGGGGGGGGGGGGGGGGGGGGGGGGGGGGGGGGGGGGGGGCAGCACGGCTGCCCATGACCTTCGGCGCGTGAGGGATGTGTGCGGGCTGGAGTTAATTTCCCAGTTGAGTGGCTCCATTGATTGATGGCGGCGCGGGCGGGACGCTGAGCCCAGCCAGATGCTGAGTCAGCACTACCAGCCACCCTCTCCATGGCACCCTGAGGGGATGGCAGTGTCCCATCGCCATTTGGACTGCTGTGCCACCAGGACGTGAGCGTACCCATGAGTGCTGACTCCCGTCATGGTGGCAGAACTGTGCCTCTGTACCAAGCCAGAGTCTCATCCTGCCTTACTGGTGCTGTCACAGCTCCTGGGCATGCCAGCCCTGGGGAGGGAACATGTGTGCCCCAAGGGATTCCCCATAGGTCCCCGTGTCCCTGCTCCATCCCAGCTCTGCCCAGTCCCACTGCTGTTTCATTCTCCAATTACCAGGGCTGGCAGTGGCTGTCTGTATACCCATCTCTAAATCAGGCAATGCCACTGGCACCATCACAGCAGTATGGCTCACCGCCTGTGCCTGGCACTGCACTGATTTTTCCCTCCACTGGCTGTGCCTCACTGGGACACATTTTAACTTAACGAGTTGATTCTTCCATGTGTCTCCCAGTGGCACTTACGGGTTATGGGAACTCTGCTGGTGGCAACAGCTGGTGGGACAGAGCAAGGGTCATGTCCCATTGGGACGAGCTCAGGGGGAGAATGGTTGTGGCAGCCCCTGACCACATCCCATAGGCATGGCCACCTACACGGATAAGCTCTTCAAACTCCGCAACGGGCGCTGGGAGGACCTGCTGAGTGACGAAGTGAACCGCGATGTGGCCAGCCGCTTCGCCGGGCGCTCTGTCGCCTGTGTGGACCGCACGGTGAGCGGGCAGAGTGTGGGGCAGCCCCTCACCCAGGCCACGTCCCACTCCACTGGGGCTGGGGGTGCCCCCATCAGCCGGCTGGTGGCTGTCAGGGCTCGCAGCCCCCCCAGCCATCAGGGCTCTGGGCATCCGTCCACACGGTTGCCGCTGGCTGATAAACGCGCCTGTCGAGGTGATTTATGTCCCTGTCACCTGCTCTTTCTTCTTCCTCCTCCCCCAGCAGTTTGTTTCCCAATGATTATCGCTAAATCAGGGCCCAGCTGCTGCACGGGACAAGGGGGGCGGTGGGGATGGGGGGGCACCTGTCAGAGCAGGGAGTGTGGCATGAACTGAACACCAGCACTGAGCTTGGAGACGGTGGAGGTGATGGGACACATCCCAGTGGGAAAGCACGACCATCCCCAGTGCAGAGTGCTCTTGACTATGGGCGTTAGGGAACCCGACAGCAGGGAGGATGGAGGCCAAACCCCACCCCACAGGCTGAGGGGGATGCACAGGGAGCTGAGGCGGTGCTGCCGGCCGCAGGGCTCGGGCAGGTACTCTATCTACATCGCCAACTACGCCAGCGGCAAGGTGGGCCCACATGCCCTGCTGGAGATGGACGTGGCTGCTAGTGACCCTGCCCGTGGCATCGTGGTGCTGGTGGACGTGGCCGCCCAGGCTGGTGTCAGCAAGTACACAGGTATGGAGAGGACGTGAGCATCAGTGACCTGTGCCGTGACCCACACCACATGTGCCATACATTGCCTGCCTGACTGCCCCACCTAGTGGCCACCCCACTGCGCGTGGCACCCACCCAGCAGGACACCACTGTCACCCTGCTGGCTCCCTGGCAGCGTCCTTAGGGCCTGGGGGTGCAGGGTGCATGCCAGCCACCGTAGGGGACTGCCGCGTGCCCTGTCTCTGTGGCGGTAAATTCTTGCTAATTAGGAGTGTTGTCACCATGGCGATGGCAGTGATTAGGTTGGATGTGACACAAGCGGCTGCCAGCCCCAATTAGCTCCTGATGAGAGGGAGTGAAGGAGGAGGGAGAGAGAGGAGGGGGTCTTGGGAACACTGATGCATGGACATGCAGCCCCCAGAGCAGGGGACAACCTTACCACTGGCCGCTGTCCCCAGGGGGCCGTGGTGTGGCTGTAGGCCCCATCCTGAGTGACAGTGCTTCTGACATCTTCTGCGGGAACGAGAACAGCCCCAACTTCCTCTTCCACAACCGTGGGGATGGGACGTACCGGGACGTGGCAGCTTTGGTGGGTGAGTAGAGTGTGGGGGGAGATGACTCCAAATGAGCTGAGCACAGTGCTGGGGGGACCGTGGGGATTGACAGTCCCATTGACCATAGGAGGGGCATCACTGATGTAAGGATGCAGCATGGGGAGGCCCATATGGGGACCTGGGGCCATGTTCCAGGAGGTGTCCTGGGGAGTTGTCCCAGGATTGAGTGTCCTGTCTGCCTGTCCCCTTGCTGCTTGCAGGGCTAGATGATCCCTACCAGCACGGACGTGGCGTGGCATTGGCTGACTTCAACCGTGATGGCCGTGTAGACATTGTCTATGGCAACTGGAATGGGCCGCACCGCCTCTACCTGCAGGCAGGGGCTCCCGGGCGCATCCGATTTCGGGTGAGGGCTGGGGCTGCAACATCCCCAGCCACCAGCTTTGGTGCTGAATCCCGGTTTGGCTTTGAGCTCTGGTTTCCAGTGGGGATGGAACCGAGGAGCAGTGTCCTCACATCACCAGCCTGTATCCATTTCTCACACAGGACATTGCCACTCCCAAGTTCTCCATGCCGTCCCCTGTCCGCACTGTCATCGCTGCTGACTTTGACAATGATCAGGAGCTGGAGGTCTTCTTCAACAACATTGCCTACCGTGGCTCCTCTGCTAACCGCCTGTTCCGGTAGGGCTGGGGGGCCATGCCCCACAGCGGGAGCCAAGCAGCCCTCGCCGTGCTCTTCTCCATTGGTGCCACGTGTGGGGCCAGAGCTCCAACTCTTCTCATCAAGGAGCCATGCCTGAGCCTTTCCCTATGTCATTACCAGCCCTGCGGCTGTGCCTGCAGCAGCCTCTGGGGTCCCCATGCTGATGATCACAGCTGTGTGGAAGCTTGTTCCCTGCTGCAGCTAATTGTGGGGATCAATTCCTCACCATCGCTCTGCGGCACGCCCTCGCCGTGTGGGCACAGCGGGCAGGTGGAAGGCGGTGGTTTGGGGGGAGCTGGGAGCCCCCAGGGGTTGTGGCAGTGTTTGGAGATGGCGCTGCTGTTCTCCATGCCCGTGTGACATCCCTGTTATTCCTCCACAGAACAGGGATGAGATGTGCATGTCCAGTCACCAGGCACCCCACACGGCCCTGTCCCCTCTGGTGTCACCTCTCTGCCAGGCTGCTCCAAGGTGGAGAGCTGCTAGGCATCTTGGGGACACAAGGGCTGGCACTAACACCCTGCCTGTGCTCAACAGGCTCATCCGCAGGGAGCACTCAGACCCCATCATAGAAGAGCTGAACCCAGGGGATGCGCTGGAGCCTGAGGGACGGGGCACTGGTGGGTGATGCAGGGCAGGGCTGGCCCATGCTGGGGGTGACACAGCACCACCAGGGTGCTGCCATCAACATGAGAGCCAAGCCCATGACCTGTTGCTCTGCGCACAGGGGGTGCGGTGACAGATTTTGATGGTGATGGGATGCTGGATCTGATCCTATCCCACGGCGAGTCCATGGCACAGCCACTCTCCATCTTCAAGAGCACCCAGGTGAGCAATGGGGCTCCTCTAGGTATTTTGGTCCCTGTGTCCCCCCAGCTCAGCCTTCTTCCCCTCTGCTTGCAGGGTGCTGGCAACAACTGGCTACGGGTCGTGCCACGCACCCGCTTTGGGGCCTTTGCGCGAGGAGCCAAGGTGGTGCTGTTCACACGGCGCAGCGGTGCCCACCTGCGAATCATCGATGGTGGCTCAGGGTACCTGTGTGAGATGGAGCCCGTGGCACACTTTGGACTGGGTGAGCCCTGGGATGGGGGCAAGAGGCTGCCAGCCCTCCCTGCACCCAGTGACAGGCTGTCTGCCCACAGGACGTGACAAAGCCAGCAGCCTGGAGGTGACATGGCCTGACGGCCGTGTCCTGGTGCGAGCGGTGGCCAGCAGCGAGACCAACTCCGTCCTGGAGGTCCCCTATCCCCGAGACACAGAGAAGCCACTAGTGCCCACTCTGCTGGAGGTGAGGGCCCACGGGGAGTGATTAGGGGACAGGAATGCGGGGCTGAGCTCTGCTGCCTTGGGGCTGCCCCATCCCAGTGTCTGCTTCTCCCCAAACGCAGTGCGGGCAGGGATTCTCCCAGCACGAGAACGGACGCTGCGTAGGTGAGTGCAGACACAGGCATGGCTGAAACCCAGAGTATGGCTGTTGGGCATGTGCTCTGGGAGCCTGGGCTCTGGAGGGAGCAGGGGGTGCATGGCTGACCCAAGTGACGCAGCAGAAGTGGGGACGTGGTAGTGTTCATCTGTGGCAGCGCACTGCTTGTGAATGGCCACATCCACGCTTATGCACAGTGGGAGCCAGGGCACACCACTGGCACTTCCCAGCCTGGCCACATCACCTCCCCCCATCCCCTCTGCCCACAGACACCAACGAGTGTGCTGAGTTCCCCTTTGTTTGCCCCCGGGAGAAGCCCATCTGCATCAACACCTATGGCGGGTACCGCTGCCGCAGCAACAAACGCTGCGCTCGTGGCTTTGAGCCCAATGAGGATGGCACAGCATGTGTGGGTGAGTGATGGGAGTGATACACTGGAGCAGCATCTTGGGATGGTGATGTACCCTCCCAGGCACAGCCACCCCTGCACCCTGCCTATACCCCAGCTCCACAGCTACGTGCCTCTATGTCTGCTGGTCCCGTGCCACCCACTTGCTGCTGACCACCCAACTCTCTTTCTTTCCTGCTCCTTTTCTTGTTCTCCATGCAGCTCAGGTGGCCTTTTTTGGGGGATACCCTTCCACCGGGAGCTGGCCCTGGGCCCCCCAACGCATTCTCCTCTCTCTGGGCTTTGGACTCTACCTTTGTCTCTATGCACTTTAACCCTGCCTGTAACACCCAAGCAGCCTTGGTGAAGGAGCAACCAGCCTCTGCCTGTCTCTTTTTCCCTATTCCCATGTGGAACTGCCCTGGATGGGCAAGGGACCACAGCACTGTCCCCACACTGCAGCCCAGGACTGAAGCCCCAGCACTCCCCCCGCATCGCTGGCTCCGTCGCCTCGATCCCGTGCCATGTGCCTGCTGGTTTGGCCTGAGCCACGTGTGCTTCTCAAGTTCCCTCTGCCTGGGGGGGGCAACCCCAGCAGAGGAGGCTCCCCCCAGCCCAGCAGGGGAAAGTCCCCTCGGTTTGTTTTTTAACTTCTTGACCCTGCTGTTTGGAGTTGGACCCTGCTCAGTCTTCCAGCCCGTCTCCTGGAGAACTCTCCCAATAAACTATACACTGTCTATTTGCTGGCTGGGCTGAGCTCAGGCTTCCAGCAGGTTGGGAGCCACTATCCTGCCCTGGATTCCCTCCCCCCACCAGCTCTCCATTCCCCCCATGCACAGCTCCCGTGCAAGTCGTGCCATGTGAGTAAACCAATCCCTGTCCTGCTTTCTCTGCATGTTCCACAGGGCATGCACTGCACTATGCCTCCCACTTCTTGCCCCATGCTCAATCTCCATATGGGGCCAGTCCTATGGTACCCATTGCATTGGGGTGCCCAGCCCCAACACAGCCCCGATGCAGGAGGAGGCAGGGTAGCTAGGGCTGAAGCATGAGGTTTATTGAAGGTCTCCATCAGTTTCCATGCAGGATGCCCCACAGGGTGCACCAGAGCCTCACCACCCTCCTGTGGGGCCGGGTCCTCCTCCCTCTATGGCCTTGGAGCTCCCTCCCAGGTACTGCATGTTACAGGGACCCACCTCTTGTTTCTTTCCCCCTCGGGGGTCCCCCACCACAGGTTGCAAATGTGGGTGCTGCAGCCAGGGGTGCTGCATCAGGACAGCTCTGCAGGGCTGGCACCTTAGGGGTGATGGGCAGAGAGTCCAAGCAGGAGAAATACCCCCTGCAGCCCCCCAGCACCACAGGGTGCATAGAGGGCAAGGATGCATGCGAGATGTGTGGGCAGGAGGATTTGTGCCCCCTGCCCTGGCACAGGGAGCTGGCTGGGGATGGCACAGAGGAGGGCAGGGAGCAGGATGCAGCCAGAACCTTTGGGGCAGCACATGGGGCAAATGCACAGCACCATCATGCAGATGAAGTAACACAGGGGCACGAGGCCATGTCCCCCTGGCTTCAGCGCTGCTGGAGCACTGCAGGGAGAGCTTTTTCACTTGGGGGGAGGGGGGGCTTCGGGAGCCCTTTGGCACTGGTTTGGTTCAGTGGGAAGCACCTGGGACACCCCAGCAGCGGTCCCTGCCTGCAGTGGGTCTGGGCAGGAGCAGAGCCACTGCAGGGGCACATGGCATAGAGGACACCTGCCCCCCATGCCCCCTCCCACCCGCTCTGGACTCAGAAGCGGGTGCTCTGGTAGTGCAGCCTGCGGATCTCAGAGAGGCGGCTGTCCCGGCAGTACGCGTCCCTGCAGGGACCTCCCCCTGCCAGTCACCGCCCCCCCCCACCGCTGCTGCTGCTGCTGGAGCTGCCACTGCTGGAGCTGCCGCTGCTGCACCGGTCCTCGTAGATGGAGATCTCGATCTGGGCACTGCTAAGGAGCAGCCGTGGGATGCATCAGCCACAGCCCCCCTGCCCGCTGCCGGTGTCCTCCCACCCTCACCCTCATCCCCCCTTATCCCAGAGGATACAACTCTCATGCCACGCTCCAGGGGGTCAGTGAGCAGCAGCCCCCGTGGTGCATAGACCTTCTCATTCTGCTCCTGGATATACTTGGAGATCTTCTTCAGGACCTGTGAGTGCAAGGGGGGCACTGAGCACCCTCCAGCCCTGGTTCCCCCTCCAACCCCTCCACTTCCTTTGCCCTCCCCAGGGCATCAGCACCTTCTCATAGTGTGTCTCCATGCAGAGGAAGATGAAGTAGGCAGTGGCACAGGCGAGGCACCCCTCCAGGTATGAGCTGCCCCCGATCTTCTCCGCTTCAGCATAGAACCCATTGAGAGTTTTCACGGTCTCCTCAAACAGCTGACGCTCAATCTGGGGCAGAAGCTGCCATGAAAAGATGCTTGGCCAGCAGCTATCCCCATCCCTGGGATGCCCTGGGGACTACCTAATCCTCTCCTTCCTTCTCAGCTGCTCCCTGCCCATTGCCCACCTACACCAAGAGCTCTGTGCCTCCACGAGAGCCCCCAGTCCCCAGGAGAGATGGTACATACTCTGCCCAGGGCAGCAATCCAGAGCTGGCTCAGGGCCACACAGCTCCCCCCCATGCCCTCTCCCTTTAGATAAACCCCATAGGACTCTGAATGTAGGGCACCCCCACGCACACTGCCAGGCATCCTACCCGGCTCTCCAGCTCCGGGGGGAACTTAGTCTGGAACTGGCATGTGGTCCCATCACTGTAGTCCCGCTGCACAAAGACCTTGGTGGCCAGGGACGCGCTGCGCCGCAGCTCCTGCAGACTGTGTACCTGGGGGTTACAGTGGGGTGAGCTGGGGGGATACAGCCTGGGGGTGGGGGGGATGAAGGTTGCCACGCATCCCACTGTGGGGCTATGGAAGGTGGTGCCATTCTCACAGACCCCAGCATGGTCACGTGTCCACGGTGGGACAAGGCCTAACGGTGGCAAAGGGATGGTCCTCGGTCCTCAGCAGGATGCTGGCAGGAGGAGGGGAAGAAGGGACTGTTGCTGTGGGGCTGCAGCAGCTGTGCAGCCAGAAGGACTGGGATGGCATAACCCTGGCATGCTATGGGGCGCCAGGACCCACTCCAGCCTCCAGGTGTTGGAACAGAGCCGGGATGGAGAGGAGGATGGAGGGGACAAAGGGAGAGAGTCAGACCCCTCATACTGCAGCCCCACATGGACCTACCTCTCCATCAAGGACACCCCACCCCAACCCCAACCCCACGTCCCTCCAGCCCCACCGCGGGCACCCTGAATGCACAAGAGCCCTTCTGTGAGTGCGGACCCCGCAGGGCTCCAGCCCCACCCCGCACAGCCCCGGGCACCCGCGCACCCACCTCCGTGGCCATGGCGCTCCGTGCGCCCCGGGCCGGGCCGTGCTGCGCTGAGTCGGGCCGCGCGGGGGAACCGGAGCCGGCGGCGGGGCCGGGCCGAACCGAACCGAGCCGGGCAGAACCGAGCGGGCGGCACCGGCGCTGTCCGCGGTGCTGCTGAGCCGCGCGGCGGAGGCGGAGGCGGGCCCGGCCGCAACGTGTGCGCAGCCGCCCGGCCCCGGGGATGGGCGCCCGCTGCTGCCTGCACCGAGCCCGGGGGGAGCCGGACCGATCGGGGGCGGCTGTGGGGGTGGCTGGGAAGTGGCTGCCTGGGGGTGCTGCGGCGTGGAAAGCACAGGGGTGATGGGGGGCTGCACCCCACGGCAAGGACACGGGGGTAACGAGGGAGCTGGCCGTGGGGCTGGCAGCCCGCCCTGCCCGGGTAGGTGGCTGAGTGCTGCTCGTGCAGAATTTGCAGCTGCAGAGCGGGTGCCGCGAGCACAGAGCAGGCAGACATCAGAGAGGAGCGCTAACAGATTCCCTGTAATCTCTGCCCATTGACAGCTCAATTAGAGGCAGAGAAATGGCAAACGGGGAGAAAACAGACATTCTCCCTAGAGGAGGAGGGCACAGCAGGGGAGGGGTTGACGTGTGGTGGCACAGACCCCATGCAGGGTGGAAGGCAGCAAGCCCTTCCTTTGCACCTGTAGGGACACCGGCAAAAAAAGCGACAAGCAGTGGGTGCAGAGCCTCAGCACTGCGCACACACATCTGGGGATGCACAGGTCTACATCTGGGGTTGCAGATATCCACACCTGGGGATATGTGCATCCCTGTAGGCATACGTGCATACCCAGGTGTGTCCCAAGATGCCCCCACACCCATGTCCCTCTCCCACACTGAATGTCACACCACGTCACCACTCACCTCCTGCCTGGCAGTGGCCGTGCCAGTTGCCATGGCAATGTCTCGCCTGTGGAGAGATGAGGTTCACTCTCCCAAGCAGTGGAGAGGGGCCGAGAGCAGCTGTGGGGAGCACAGCTCTCCCTGACACCCCCGTGTGCATCCCTTGCGCTGTGCCCACCTGTGTGCCCCCTGTGGGAGCTGGGTTGGGTGAGAAGGGGCCATGGCTAGTGGCTGTCCCCTGGAGCTGTGACACTGGGTGTCCCCGTGGGGCTCCATGCTGGGCCTTTCTTGTGGGTTCCCACAGTGCTCTCCACCCCCACACAGCCCTTGGCCCCACTGCTCTGCCCCCAGCCCTTCAAGGCCCTGCCAGATCCCCTGCCAGACTCCCCATCATGGGCTTCTCAGCTGTATCCAGATGGCCCTTCTCCATCTGCTGAGCCTGGGGGACTATTTTTAGGTTCCCTGGCAGCAGAGGCACTGCTCACATGGCTGTGGAAGGAGGTGCCTTTATTCCCATTATTCCCTACACCTAGGTGAGTCGCCCCACAGTCATGCCCCAGTTCCACTACCCTAATGCTGCTCTTGATCCAATAGCAACAAAAATCCCTTGCTCTGGGTTCAGCCCCACACAGCCCATGTTTGTCATCCCCTCAGCAACCCTGCCCCAGAACGGGTCCAGCCCTCATACAACAGGAGGGGACCTGTGCCCCCTCCTCATAGGGACTGTCAGCAGCTCTGCTTTAAAGGCAGCATGGCAGTGCCAGCCTTGGCAGCTGCTTCACACAGTGCTGGGTGGGCTTTAATTCATGGCGGGGGGAGAATGAGCTCACTGCCCCATTGAGGACAATGGTGACATTTGGGACATGGTGGGGAAGCGCTGATAACCTTTCCTGGGAGACAGCAGGTGTGCATGTGTCAGCATGGGAGGATGTTTCCCACACCAAATCCAGCATCCTAGCATTGCCTCTGCCCCACGGGCATCACAGGCCATGGGACACTACCCCATATTGCCCACAGCCTGAGGTGAGCACATTGCCATCCTCACAGAACTGCTCAATGGAGTGCGGGGCACAGCACTGCCAAGAGGTCCCCGTGTCCCCATGCATGATGCCATCCTCGCGCAAAAGAGTCCCCATATGGGCCATGCCCCATCCCTGCACTGCATGGGGCTGGGGGCAGGCGGGCAGCACACAGTGGCTCTGTGTGCTCACAGGATTTATGAGCCAGGGCAGAGCTGCCGAGGGGCTGGGAGGAAGCCAGGGTGGCTGCGGCCCCACAGCTGTGCCCGGAGCACTGCCAGCTGCATTCCTGGGGCTGTGAGACAAGTGGGAGTGTGTGTGGGCGCAGGGCAAGTGCGTGGTCACCACTGCCTTCTGCCCGCCCTGGAAGTCTGCAATCCCAGTGTCTTGGCCCCACTGTGCCCCCCTCCTGCCCTCTCCTTCCTCCTTCACCTCACTGTGGAGCAAACTGAGTGCAAGGAACATACGGCACTGACTCTGGAAGTGCCAAGGATAGGGTCTGAGAGACTGGACACCACAGCACTGTGCCTAAGCTCCGCTTCCCATGGCAGCAGGATTTCCCCTCCTGCAGCAGAGCCAGAGCCTTGCACCAGTGTTAGTCCTTGTGCCTTGCTGCCCCTTGCACAGCCCCTGCCAGTGCTTCTATGGGAAAGTGGAGCAGCCCTCAGCAGGGCATGTTCCCTTACCGTGTCCCCAGGGCTGGCCATCTCCGAGGTCTCCACTGAAGAGGGACCAGCCCCCATGGTCCCAGTCCGGGTCTCAGTGCCGTGAAGTGTGACACAGGCGGTGGCAAGTGCTGGTGGCCGGGCTGCACAGAGTGACAGGCACAAGTGTCTGTCCTCCAGCCCACTGCGTGGGTGCTGGATGGGGACATGGGAACAAGTGCAAGAGGAGTGCAGAAGGGACCCCCTGGGGCAGAGACACAGTCACAGGACACGTGGCAGGAAAAGGACACATGTACCACTGCCCCCAGCCCTGCTGCCAGGAAGTGGCTCAGTGGCTCTAACGAAGATATCATGACAGACGGTGGCCCAGCAGCTGGCAGGGAGCCCCTCACTCCCTGACTCTACCAGCCAGGGCTCAGGGTGAGGCATAGTCAGCATCACACCTGGGCACCTTGTGAGTATCCCACAGGCTCCCTCTGCCCCCATCACCCCTGCCCCTGGAGCTCCCGCTCCCTGGCCCCTTCCGAGCATAAGCCCATTGCAATTAGCTGAGCTGCCCTGCCCCAGCTCATCCATCATGGGTTAGCTATTTTCTATCAGCATTTTTCTCCAGGCAATCTCTCTGCTCCTCTGACAGCCCAATGCCTCCCTCCTGCTACCGGGCAGTCCTGATAACGGGTGGCTCTATCTTATCGTGCTCCCCGGCAGTTATACATTAGCAGTGCCATCTCTGGGGCTCAGCCCAGGGGAGGTGAGATCAGATCCTGGGATGGCATTGAGCATGCCTGAGCACTGAGCATCCCTGGGCACCAAGTATTCCTGAGCTCTGAGCATCCTTTGGCACCGTGCATCCCTGGGCACCACAAATCCAGGGCACAGGCAGGACAAACAGGCTGCAGGCATGAGCTTGGTGTTTTTGCACAGCTCCATGGCAGACGGCTCCTGATGGGTCTGGGAGGGGGGGGAGTGGTCCCTGCCCCCTGCCCAGGGCAAAGGGCAGCTGCTATCGCAGCCCACACCAGGCTGTTTGCTCTATCGCCCATTAACTGAGTCACCTTATCCGGCAAGCGGGAGCTGGGGAAAGCATGGGAGTGCTGACCAGGTCGGGACATCGATCTCCTCAATGGGAGGGGGTGCTCCAGATAACCCCTGCAGACAAATGGGTTTCTTATGGGGTCCTCATCCTAGCACCCCTGACCTGTCTCCAAGGAGAAGAGGGAATGTGGACTGGGCAGGTCTCAAGAAGGCTCTGGTTCTTCCCATGCCCTGGGCACCAGGGAAAGGGCCCGAGTGTCCCCTCCCAGCTCTCTCATTCCATCTCAATTGTGAGCAACTAGTTGGGGTGCCCCAGGATGATGCAAGGTGACACAAAACCCAGCTCTGAGGCAAGGGACAGAGCAGGGACTGCAGGTGGCACTGGGCACAAGTGCACCATGTAGCCTTGGGACAATCCCCACAACTCTACTCCAAGGGGGGCACAGGAGTAGGAACCAGTGTCTCCTGTACCCCAGGCAGGACGGGGTGTTGGTGAGTAGCGAGGTGCACCGTCCCTTCCCGAGTGCGTGGCATCAGAGGGATGCGGAGCATCCCCGTGCACCCACCCTGCAGTGCAAGAGAGGGAGGGAGGGCGGGAGCACAGCGGGCGGCCTGGCGTGGGGCCGGGGGGCCATGCCGGGGGGGGGGGGCCAGCAGCCAGAGCAGATTGGCTGCCGGTGATGCCTGCGGGCTCCTTTGAAAGGGCAGTGTGGGAGGTGCCGGAGGAGCAGGCAGCGGCCGTGCGTCCCACTCGGCAGGCACGGCGATGCTGCGGGCGAGCGGCCCCGCGGGCACGGTGACACTGGCACTGCTGGCGCTGGCACTGGCACCAGGCGAAGGGCAGCACTACGACTACTATGGCTGGCAGCCGGAGAACGTGCCCCGCGGGCGCTTCTACGGGCGGGAGCCGCAGTGTGTCGACATCCCGGCAGACATGCAGCTGTGCCACGATGTGGGCTACAAGCGCATGCGGCTGCCCAACCTGCTGGAGCACGAGTCCATGGCTGAGGCCAAGCAGCAGGCCAGCAGCTGGGTGCCGCTGCTTGCCAAGCAGTGCCACGCCGACACGCAGCTCTTCCTCTGCTCTCTTTTTGCCCCTGTCTGTCTCGACCGCCCCATCTACCCATGCCGCTCGCTCTGTGAGGTGGTGCGCGATGCCTGTGCGCCTGTCATGGAGTCCTATGGCTTCCCCTGGCCCGAGATGCTGCACTGTGGCAAGTTTCCTTCTGACCACGACCTCTGCATCACCGTGCAGTTTGGGAACAACCAGGCCACCCCTCCGCCGGGTAAGTGGGACGAGCACCGCGATGGGTTGGGGTCGTGCACACATCCCTGTGCAGCCTGGGGCAACTGTAGGAACCTCCATCCCTGCTCCTACAGCCCTAGGCACCCAGCTGCATGCACAGAGCTGCCCCAGGGCAAGGTGAGTGGGTCAGCAGTGGGGTGCTGGGGGTGACTGCAGGACTGCGGGATTGTCACAGGGCTGTCCCCTTCCTCTCACTATGTACCATCACAGCCAAAAGCATCCAGCCTGAGCACTGCACCTGTGCCATTCCCACACCCCTGCAGGTCCCCTGAGGCTGGGGAAGGGATATCGTCTGAAGGCAGCCTTGAGTCAGGATCAGGTTGTGTCACCTTTCACCCTGCTGCCTCCCTCACCCCAAGGCATCGGCAGTCAGGCACGGTCCCCCATTTCCTATTCCTCTTGGGAAGCGGGTGCTGGAACTCCTAAACATGTGGTGCTGAATATCCCTGCGTCACCTGGCACAGCTTCCCAGGGACAAAGGGGCTGCTCTCCTGCTGTGTCCCTACTGAGGTGACACAGGTGACAGCCATCAGTGTCTGGTGACAGTGGCTGCTCTCACCCTGCAGTGCCCAAGACCTGTACCCAGTGCGAGATGGAGCACAAGGCGGATGGCATGATGCAGCAGATGTGCTCCAGTGATTTTGGTGAGTGCTCCCCTGACCCCCCAGCCTCCTGACAGTCCCAGCTGCCCCCAGACGAGCCCAGGGAGGTTGGATAAAGGGCTTTCCTATGCAGGGACATCCCCATAGGACATTCCCCCTAGGACCCTATGTGCAGGGGATGGGGTGTACCATGAGAGAGGACATCTTGGGGGGACAGGTAGAACATGTGGGGGGGTCACTGGGTCCATACTAATTTCACAGTGGTGAAGATGCGCATCAAGGAGGTGATACAGGAGAATGGGGAGAGGCGCCTGGTGGCTGCCCAGAAGAAGAAGGTGCTGAAGCTGGGTCCCCTTAAGCGCAAGGACACCAAGAAGATGGTGCTGCACATGAGGAACACGGGCTCCTGCCCCTGTCCCCAGCTCGACAACCTAAGCGGCAGCTTCCTGGTGCTGGGGCGCAAGGTGGGCGGCCGCCTGCTGCTCCTTGCCATCTACCCCTGGCAGAAGCACAACAAGGAGATGAAGTTCGCCGTCAAGTTCATGTTTTCCTATCCCTGTCCCCTATACCATCCCCTGCTCTATGGGGCCGGGCAGCACTAGGGCTCTGTCCCAGGACTCCTGCACTTGCCCTGCTCTGCAACCCCAGCTCTGCACTCAGGCTACGTTCAAGGAAGCCCTGATCTGCACCCAGGACCTCTGCAGCCTCCTGAGCCCCCTGCCTGCACGTAAGACCCCTGCTTGACTTCAGCTGCGCCCCAGACCCTAACCCTAACCCCATGCCCCTGCCCAGCTCCCATATTCCTGCCCTCTGTGACCACAGACTGCCTGCCTCAGCTCCCGAAAGCCCTGAGCTGTATGGCCCCAGCTCTTCAGCACCCCGCACCCTAGCATAACCCTACTAGAGTAAATTATTTTGTCTGAGATAAGCCTGCATCCAGCTCTCTGTGTTTCTTGGGCTCCAAAACCTTGGGCATCCTGGCAGCTCAACAGTCCCTACTCGATCCCTGCTTCCAGCACCTGGGAAGTAACCACGGAGGGGCAGGAAAAAGGGAGAAAGAAATCTGATGGCTGGGGGATGCATGGAGTGAGGGTGGCACCAAGTGCAGCAGGGTGCAGAGCTGGACACTGCACCTCTCAGCCCTGGGTCCCAGGACTTCCTGCCCTGCAGCATTGGAGTGGGGCAGTCCCAAGTTGACTTCTAGGGTGGCAACAGGGTCCCCCTCAGCCTTGTTTACCCAGTGCATTTTTGAGTCTGCTGCATTACAGAGCATCCTGGCAGGATATCCAGACACCAGGATATTTACTCAGCACCAGGTGGCCTCACACCACAGCTTCTCAGGGGGAGGTGAGGGAAATTGAATAGGATACCCCATGCCTGGCTTTTCCCATTGCACTGCCCCACCAGCAAAGCACCAGGCACCTGCCCCAAGCAGGAATGAGTTCTGCTCCTGTTGTACTGCAGGGCAGGTCACAGCAAGCACTGATGCTGACAGCAGGATGTGCTCCTGTCCCACAACCAGCACAGGAGGGAGGCAGCAAGCCCTTGTGACTGCCTGGGGCAGGTGGTTCCTGCCCCCTCCCTTCTCCACAGCCAGCATGGAAAAAAACTGAAAATTCAAATAGTGGTAGAAGGCATTTTCCAACGAGGCTGCTAAGCAGACTGCCATTGGAATAAACACCATCAATTATACCATTTACTGCACAACTCGAAGTACACAAATAAAACCCCATCTCCCACAGCCCGTGTTTATCTGTAGTCCTCTGTATTCTGCGTCATTAGCATCTTTCTGAGGAGCACTTAGACGTACATGGACACTGCATCCATCTCACCAAGTGTTTTCTCAAGAAAGACAAGTAACTTCTCCCTGTCCCCCACCACGAGCTGAAATAACCTCCTGCCCCTCTGCACACTGCCTCCCCCACTACAGCACCTTTGGAGCACACCCAGCACAATGTGGGCATGCCCATCACTGCAGAGTTCAGCTTTCCCCAAAATTTCCCAAGGGCAGAACTCACTCAAGAGGAGGGTCCAGGGGCCCACAGCCAAGAGGAGGTCTCAGGCTTGTGGGAGCACTGAGACCTGTGCCCCCATCCAGATCATGCCTAGAGCAGTGGGTGTCCCAGCCCGAGGGCTCCAGCTCCCCCACCTCCCCGCCCCCAGAACTGCAGCTGGCTGGCAGGGGGCCCAGCCACAGGCACTCCCAGCTGCATGGCAGCCAGGGTCGCATTCCTGGGATAGCTGGGAGCTTTGCTGTTCAGCAGGGAAA